TCAGGCGTGAGCCCCCTCCCTATGGGGCCCGCAGATCATGTTATTAGTTCGAGCGGGTCATCCAGATCCTGTAACTGTCGTCACTGACGCTTGAATATGGGGGAAGTACCAGGCGGGAGCCTCGTCTGTGAGTGAACTGTGAGGAAGTCTCAGGCGGGAGCCCCCTCCCTATGGGGCCCGCATTCACGTTGGTAATCCGAGCGGGTCATCCTCGAACCTGTCACTGTCGTCACTTTTGGGCTTCTGAGTCCTGAGTGTGGCAGGCGGGAGCCTCGTCTGTGAGTGAATTGCGAGGAAGTCTCAGGCGGGAGCCCCCTCCTTATGGGGCCCGCATTTCATGTTGGCAATCCGAGCGGGTCATCCTCGAACCTGTAACTGTCGTCATTTTTGGGCTCCTAAGGCTTGAATTTTGGGGAAGTATCAGGCGGGAGCCTCGACTGTGAGTGAACTATGAGGAAGGCTCAGGCGGGAGCCCCCGTCCCTATCGGGCCTTCACCTCGTGTTTCCTCCAGGTCGTCCTCCGGCGCGTGCTTCCTTTGGGGCGTCCTCTGGCGCGTATCCGCCGGGACGCACGTCGTGTGTTTTCTTTGGGTCTTGTTCCGCACGAGGAGGAAGAAGGAGGAGGAATGAGGATGCAGGACGAGAAAGAGAAACAGGAGGAGGAGGAGGAGGAGGAGGAGGAGGAGGAGGAGGAGGAGGAGGAGGAGGAGGAGGAGGAGGAGGAGAACATGGAGGAAGAGGAGTGCCCTAGGAGGCCCCAGGGTGTCCCGGGAGGCCTAGAAGGCTCCGGGGGGCCCCAAGAGGCCCTAAGAGGCCCCAAGAGTCCCCAGGAGGAGGCAGGAAGCCTAAGGAGGAGGCAGGAGGAGGGGGAGGCGGAGGAGGAGGGGGGGGAAGATGGAGACGAGGAGGAGGCGGAGGAGGGAGAGGGAAAAGAGGAAGATGGAGAGGGGAGGGGAGGAGGAGGAGGAGGAGGAGGAGAGGAGAGGAGGAGGAGGAGGAGGAGGAGAGGAGGAGAGGAGGAGAGGAGAAGGAGGAGGAGGAGGAGGAGGAAAAGGAAAAGGAGGAGGAGGAGGAGGGAGAAGGAAAGCAGCAGGATGAGGAGGACGCAGGAGGCAGGAGGAGCATGGGGAATGGGGGGAGGAGGCATAACGAGGAGGAGGAGAAAGAGGAGGAGGAGGAGGAGGAGGAGGTGGTGGTGGTGGTGGTGGGAGAGGAGTGAGGAGGAAGCAGGGGTTGAGGCAGGAGGAGGAGGAGGCAGGAGGAAACGGAGGAGGCAGGAGCAGGTGGGAGAAGCGAGGGGGCAGGAGCAGATCCCCAGGCAAGCTAAACATATTAACATGTGGGGTCCTACCGTCGTAGTTATTCGTTGTTTTATCTATGTCTCTCTCTCTCTCTCTTTTTCCTTTTTTTCACTGTCCTATCTCTCTCTCTCTTCTCTCTCGCGATCGACGACGACGAGGACGACGAGGATGGTGATGATGGTGATGATGATGATGATGATGATGATGCTGATATTACTGATCATGATGATGATGCTGATGCTGATTATTATTCTGGGGATGAGGATGATGATGGTGACGATTATGATGATGATCGATGATGCTGTTGATGATGATGCTTATGATGATATGATGATGCTGATGCTGCTGCTGATGATGATGCTGATGCTGATGCTGATGCTGCTGATGATGCTGATGAGGATGCTGATTATTATGATGATGCTGCTGATGACGATGACGATGATGATGATGCTGCTGATGATGCTGCTGCTGCTGATGATGATGATGATGCTAATGAATCTGAATATGATTATGCATATGAATACGATGATGATGAAGATGAAGATGAAGATGAACATGATGATGATGATGATGATGGTGGTGGTGGTGGTGGTGATGATGATGGTGATGATGGTGATGATGATGGTGATGATGATGATGCTGATGATGATGCTGATGATGATGATGATGATGATGATGATGATGATGATGATGATGATGATGATGATGATGATGATGATGATGATGATGATGATGACGATGATGATGATGATGATGATGATGCTGATGCTGCTGATGATGCTGATGCTGATGCTGATGATGCTGATGTGATGCTGATGATGATGATGATGATGATGATGATGATGATGATGATGGTGATGATGGTGATGATGATGATGATGATGATGATGATGGATGATGATGATGATGATGATGATGATGATGATGATGATGATGATGATGATGATGATGATGATGATGATGATGATGATGATGATGATGATGATGATGATGATGATGATGATGATGATGATGATGATGATGATGATGATGATGGCAAGGGCGATGACGGCGACGGCAACGAGAGTTTTTTCTGCCCGCGGCGATGGTGGTGGTGGCGACGATGACGGCAACGAGTGTCATTCCAATGGCGATGGCAAGGAGTACGGCGGCGGCGACGGCAACGAGGGGAACTCCCCGCCCGCGGCAACCCTTGGGGGAGCCCTCTATGTCACCCCCAGGGGCGCGGAGATGACAGCGCTTTGCGCGTCGCGGCTGGGGCCGCCGAGCTGGCCTCCTCCAGGCCTGGGTATCCTGCGTCTCGATTCGCTCGAGACACGGGTGACCCGACCTATCGCCCACTTCCCTGGGACCAATTTCTCGTCCGGAGTTGTTTTTCTACTGTCCCGAGGGACGGTAAGGGCTCCGAAAGGCCAGAGCCGATGACAACTTCCGTCCCGATTTTCTTTCGAGACGCCGGATGTTCAGGGGGTGGGGGGGCGGCGCGAGGGCGCGAAGATCACCGCGAGTCGCGAGTCGCGGGGCGGCCCTCGAGGTCTGTGGCGGACGCCGTGGTCCAGATCTGCCGCGAGGCGCCGCCCCTTCCGCCCCGTGCAGGCGCCGCGCCCAGGCAGCGCGGCCTCGTCGACGGCGCGCGGGGAACCGCTTCGGAGCTGGCGACTGCCCTCGCTTTGACGACGACGACGGCAACGACGACGACGGCGACCACTACGATGACGACGACGATGAGGACCACGACCGCGACGACGGCGACGACGACGACCACGGCGGCTGTTGTGGCAAGCGGCGGCGGCGACGACGACGACGACGATGACGACGACGACGACGACGACGACGACGACGACGACGACGACGACGACGACGACGACGACGACGACGACGACGACGACCGCGATGACGACGACGACCACGGGCGGCGACGGCGGCGACGACGACGATGATGACGTCGACGACGACGACGACGACCACAGCGGCGCCTGCGGCGACGACCACGGCGGCGTTTGCGGCAGGCGGCGGCGGTTGTGGCAGGCGGCGGCGGCGGTGGCGAAGACGACTACGACGACTACGACGACGACCACGGCGGTGGTCATGATGACGACGGGGACGAGAAGAACACTGCGGCGGTGGGCGACGGCGGCGACGACGGCGACGGCGACGGCGACGACCACGGCGGCGACGGCGACGACGACGACCACGACGACGATGACGACGACGGTGACGATGACGACGACGACCACCACGACAGCGGCAACGACGACGGCGACGACGACGGCGGCGGCGACGACGACGACGACCACGGCGGCGACGACGACGATGACGATGACCGCGGCCGCGGTTGCGGCAGGCGGCGGCGGCGGTGACGACGACCACGAGGACGACGACGACGACGACCACTGCGGCGGCGACGACGACGACGATGACGACGACCACGACGGCGGCGACGGCATCGACCACGGCGACGGTTGCGGCTGGCGGTGGCGGCGACGACGACCACGGTGGCTGGTTGCGGCAGGCGGCGGTGGGCGACGGCGGCGGCGGTGGCGTCGACGACGACGATGACGACCACGGCGGCGGCGAGTACGACGACCACGGCGGCGGTTGTGGCAGGCTGCTGCGGGCGGCGCGGCGGCAGCGGCGACGACAGTGGCGACGACGACGACGACAACGACGACCGCGACGGTGGCGACGACGACGACGACCACAGCGGGGGCTGCGCCGACGACGACGACGACCACGGCGGCGACGACGACGACGACGACGGCGGCGGCGGCGGCGACGACTACGACGACGACGGCGACGACAACACGGCACCGGCAACGACGACGATGTCGACGGCGGTGACCACGGCGGCTGCGACGACGACGACCACGTCGGCGGCGACGGCGACGACGACGACGGCGACGACGACCACGGCGGCGTTGACGATGACGGCGATGACGACGACCATGGCGGCGGCGACGACGACGGCGGTGGCGACGACGACGACCGCGGCGGCGGCGACGGCGACGAAGTGGTCGTCGTCGTCGACGACGGCGGCGGCGACGACGACGACGACGACGATGGCGACGACCACGGTGGCGGCGACGGCGACGACGACGACGACGACCACGGCGGCGACGGCGACGACGAGGACCACGACGACGATGACGACGACGGTGACGACGACGACGACCACCACCACGACAGTGGCAACGACGATGGCGACGACCACGGCGGCAGCGACGACGACGACCACGACGACGACCACGGCGGCGGTCACGATGACGACGGCGACGACGAAGAACACGGCGGCGGCGACGACGACGACGACGGCGACGGCGACGACCATGGCGGCGGCGACGGCGACGACGATGACCACGACGACGATGACGACGACGACGACCACCACGACAGCGGCAACGACCACGGCGACGACCACGGCGGCGGCGACGACGACGTCGACCACGACGACGACGACCACGGCGCTGGCGACGACGACGGTGCTTTCGACAATGAGAACGACGACGACGACCCCGGCGGAGGCGGCGGCGATTGCGATCACGACGAATGACAGCCACATGATGGCAGCCAGCACGCATGACATCCGCATGCTATTACATGCGTACAGACTGGGCAACACGTCATCACCAAGTCGTGGTTTGAGAACGATTACGCCAACAGCTGAAGCAACACACATATCATTAGTGTAATGATCACACGTAGTGTACGGCATCACCCACGCACGTAGACGCCGACTGCAAGGCTTCTTCCTCGTCCTTCCTCTTTTTTGTATCGTGCATTTGTTAGTACTGTCTCGCAGCACGCCTGCATGTTTTTTCCATACGCGACAGCCTAGACATGGATGCCACGACCCGGCCCCCCTAGCCGCAGACGGCCCGAAGGATGCTCCGCGTCGGTGGCTCGCCCGCTCGCTCGCTCCTCCGCTCCCCCCCCTCCTGTCTCCTCCCTCCTCCTCCCTCCTTCTTCCCTCCTCCTTCCCTCCTTCTCCCTCCTCCCTCTTCTTATCCTCCGTCCCCCCCCCCCCTCCCGCAGGGCGCTGGCGTGCGGAGCCTCTGGCGCGGGTCCGCGCCCACGGTGAAGCGGGCCGCCCTGCTCACCGCCTCCCAGGCGGGCTGATGGTGACGGTGGTGGTGCCGACGTTGATGACGAAAACTGTGATGATGATGGCGATGGTGGTGGTTGCGATGATGACTTTGACGGTGATTTTGATGCTGTTGATGAGGATGATGAGGAGGAGGGTGATGTTTTGAAGCTTGATGATGATGCTGCTGCTGATGATGACGATGAGGAGAAAGAGGATGATGATGATGATGATGTGGTGATGTTGATGGTGCTGGTGATGGTTGTGACGAAGGTGGTGGTGGAAGTGGTAAGGTTGGTGGTGGTGATGATCATGCTGCTGGTGCTGCTGCTGCTGCTGCTGATGATGATGATGATGATGATGATGATGATGGTGACACCGGTGGTGGTTGGCACGATTTTTATGAGTCGGAGCTGGCTGGGGGGCTGAGGTGGCCAGGCACTGGTTCTGGCAAGCAGACATGGGGGAGAAAGGGACCCACTTGTCGCCACGGCTGTACTCGGCTGGACAAACTGGTCAGTCTCGCACCCCGGGAGGGGTCCAGGGACTGGTTTTGAGCGGGTTTGCCTTTGTCCCCCCCCCTCTTGATCGATCTTCGCGGGGTCCATCCAGCGCAGACCCCTGGCCGCTTCCAAGTGATGAGGATGTTGACGACGACGACGACGACGACGACGACGACGACGACGACGAGGAGGAGGAGGAGGAGGATGAGGAGGATGATGATGATGATGATGATGATGATGATGATGATTATTCATATGATGAATACGATGATGATGATGATGATGATGATGATGATGATGATGATGATGATGATGATGATGATGATGATTCATATGATGATGCTGATACTGATTATTATTATGATGGTGGTTGGTGTGGTGGTGACGGTGACGATCACGATGAAGCTGACGATGATGATGCTGATGATGATGATTCGGATTTTGCTGATGATGGTGATGATGATGATGCTGAGGATGAGCATGATGATGCTGATGATGGTGGTGATGATGGTGGTGGTGATGACGATGTTGAGTGTGAGGCTTCGTCTGGGTGAGGAGGAGGCTCAGGAGGAAGCCTAGTTGAGTGAATCGGATGGTAATGATGCTGATTATGGCAATGACGATGCTGCTGCTGCTGCTGCTGCTGATGATGATGATGATGATTATGATGTAGTTGTTGTTGTTTTTGCTGCTGTTGCTGTTGCTGTTGTTGTGGTTGCTGTTGCTGTTGTGGTTGTGGTTGTGGTTGTGGTTGTGGTTGTGTTTGTCGTCGTCGTCATCGTCGTCGTCGTCGTTGTTGTTGTCGTTGTTGTTGTTGTTGTTGTTGTAGTTGTAGTTGTTGTTGTTGTCGTTGTTGTTGTTGTTGTTGTTGTTATTGTTGTTGTTTTCGCCGTCGTCGTCGTGGTCGTCGTCGTCGTCGTCGTCGTTGTTGTTGTTGTTGATGTTGTTGTTGTTGTTGTTGTTGTTGTTGTTGTTGTTGTTGTTGTTGTTGTTCTGGCTGTTGTTATAGTTGTTGTTGTTATCGTTGTCGATGTTGTGGTTGTTATCGTTGTTGTTGATGGTGCTGTTATTGCAGTTGTTTTTTTTGTTTTCGTTATCTTTGTTGTTGTTGTTGTTGTTGTTGTTGTTGTTGTTGTTGTTGTTGTTGTTGTTGTGGTTGTTGTTGTTGTTGTTGTTGTTGTTGTTGTTCTTGCTGTTGCGGTTATTGTTGTTGTTGCTGTTGTTGTTGTTGTTGTTGTCGTTGTTGTTGGTGTTGTTGTTGTTCGAAGGAACCCTACCTGTGGACCCCGTTGCGTGGTCCTTTGCTCCCCGCCCCCCAAAGAACTCAAAGAACCCTCCTCGCCCGCGGCGGCGCTCCTATGGAATTCCATAGGGGTCCTATGGGATTCCATGGGATCCCTAGGAATTCCATAGGGATCCATGGGATTCCATAGGGATCCTATGGGATTCCTAGGATTCCCTAGGGATTCCTATGGATTCCTGGGGATTCACTCGGATTCCCAGGACTCCCTAGGGAATCCGATGGATTCCTAGGGATGCCTAAGGAGTCATAGGATTCAGAGGATGTGATTCTACATTCGTACCTTTGGCGCGACGGGGGCGACTCTCAAGGATA